GATTTGATGATATCCTGCTCTGGCATCCAAGAAGTTTATACGCTGATACCCGGTAGTGACATCCACCAACTGGTCCACCTTTGGGAGGGGGTAGTCATCCTTGGGACACGCTTTGTTCAGATCAGTGAAGTCTACGCAGGCACGTTATTTCCCCCCTTTTTTCTTCGCACAGACCATGTTAGATAACCACTCCAGGAACTGCACCTCTCTGATGGTATCGGCCTCGAAGAGTTTATCGACTTCCTCGTTCACCGCCCGGGTGTGGTGCGACGCCATGCGTCGTGGCTTTTGCTTTATTGGCTTGTGTGTCAGGTCAACATGTAGTTTATGCGTGATTATTTCGGGGTCCACCCCTTTCATTTTCATTGCGTTCCAAGCGAACACGTCTGCATTTTGCCTTAAAAAGTTGATCATCTCTTCTTGTTCAGCTGTAGGCATTGCGGTTCAATCAGGAAGTATCTCTCCTCTTCACCAGGAACACCTTTCGGAGGTCATCTACCGATCGGTCCGTCGGATCAGTCTGGGGTTCATCCACTCCTGGACACCCAGACTGTGATTGCTATTTTTCCAGGATCTATTCCGGGGCGCGTCCCTTCCTTGGGTGGAAACCCCTGCTCTCACAGTCGAGTAAAAACAGTTTTTTGCTGACGCTTGGTCCCCTCGGATCTCCATTATCCCTTCTGGTGTAGCAAATTTCAATTTCTGGTGATAAGTGGAGTGCACTACTCCCAGCGCATGCAACCAAGATCGCTCCATGATCACATTGTAGGGAGAGTCCGTATCGATCACAACAAACTCTGTGTTGATGGTGAAGGGACCTGTGACAACTGACAATGTGATTTTGCCTATGGGCAAGGCAAATGAGTCGTTAAATCCGACGAAGGGCTCCTGACCTTGGTGAGGTGCTTGAGGCCAAAGCCCATCCGCTTTAAACTCTTCGAGTACATCACTTCCGTGGAGCTCCCGGAGTCCACCAACACCATCTTGACGTTGAACTTGCCTATCTTCAGAGTTATGATTAGGGCGTCGTTATGGGGAGTCACCACACCTGCCAAGTCTGCGTCAGAGAAGGTGATACCCGGCTCGTCGATCCTGGCTCTCTTGCTGGGCGGGCCTCCATCGCTCTCGACAACCTTTCTCGTAAAGGTTACCCTCTTGAGATCGGACTCAAGCTCCTTGGACGTCGGGCGATCCAGTGGACATACATGGATCACGTTTATGACGTTGTCTTGCTTCACGGCCGGGGCAAGACCGCGTTTCTCTTCTGACTTGGGTTCGATGTATTCTTTCAAGTAACCGTCCTGGACCAGCCTTTCCAAGAAAGACTTGTATAACCTATAATTTTCGGTGCGATGGCCGAAATCCCGGTGATAAGAACACTTGACCTTTTGCTTGTGAGTGGAAGGATCACTCTGCATCCTAGGCGACCACTTGAAGAATGACTCATGTAGATGGGTTGTAACTTGTAGATGGGTTCTTTGAAGACTAGGTGAACACCTTTAAATGACCCCCCTGGAGGGGGTACCAGCTCCTTTCGGGAGGTGTCCCCTGTTTCTTTCTCTTTTCTCCTAGGTGGGAGAGTTCTGCCTTTGCTGCCCCCCATTTCATCTTCAATCTTGGAGTATTTGTTTATCTGGGTCATCAATTCACCTATATTTGAGGGAGTCTTCTTAGTCAGGGATTGGTACAGGTCCGTGTCCCTCGCCAGGCCGAGCCTAAAGGATGCGGCTGCTATGACTTCTGAACACCCCTCTATCTCATTGACCTCCTCCTAGTACCTAATGGCGTACTGGTGAAGGGTTTTCGTTTTCCTCTGCTTGAGGGTCAGTAATGATCCAATATCTTTGGGCCGTTTACTCCCCGTAATGAATCGGGCTAAAAACTGCCTCGTCAACTCCTTCCATGACCCAATGCCGTTGGGAGGAAGAGTCTCGAACCACTTCATAGTGGAATCTCCTAAACTCATGGAGAACACTCGGTAGAGGAGCCGTTGGTCCGAGTAATAAAGGGACATCATTTGCTTGTATTGCCTGAGGTGAGCTTTGGGATCAAATCTTCCATCATAAGTTTTGAACCTTGGCACGACGAACTTCTTTGGCACCTCCATTTCTCGGATATCCCTAGTAAAAGGGGATTGCATTGCCTCGTCTTCTGCGTCGTCCTGGACGGCCTTGCCCCTCCCTCCACCTCAGGGGGATGTCCTCTGAGGTTTCTAGGGTCGTTGATAGGGTTCCCCTTCTCCGGGCGTCGTGTGGAAAGAGTTGAATCCTCCTCGGACTCGTCCCCCTTCCCGCGTCTTAACAGGCTTCACCGGAGGTCGTCCCAAGCCAAAGGCCTCGCCTTCCTGGAATGACCATCGAGGGGGTGCTCATCGGCTCTTGGGCGCTTTGGGACCTTGGAACTCTCAGCTTTGTTGTTCAAATGATTTCTCAGGTCCACGATTTTTGCTTCTTGGATGGGGCGTTGGCAGGAACGGAATGAGTCCCTTGATCCTTCGTCGGAGGCGACAAATTCGTTGAGCCGGCTCAGGACATTCACATTATCTTTTTCTAATTGTCGTAGTCGATCCCCAAACTTTTCTTCAATCACCTCTGCTAGTTGACGAGCCAAGGGGGCGGATCCCCCTGACCTAATGCCCATATTGGTTTGAGGAGTATGCCCCCTTGACTGAATAGAAACGTTCATGTTGTCATCAGCGTGATCCCTCCCCCCACCATGACGAGGAGCTTGTAACTCGAGACTTCTTTATTGGGGACCTTTTCCTTTCGGTCAAGTATTCACCATGGTCACTGTTCTTTCTAGAAATAGAATTAGGAAAACTAGTCGTTTCCCACAGACGGCCCCAGATTGTGCGTGCACGATCTTGCATAATATAAACACGAGAACAGATCTCTTCCTTGGTGAATACGTGTCCGTTAATCGAGTGGTCGATTTTGCTACTTGTAACAGGTTGTGAGGGTTGAAGGTGGCCAATGAAGTGATGACGAACTGTTTTTAGGGGTCACCTGAGCGATCCTAGAAGGCTGAGGGATGTTTGTGGAACAAAGAAAAATAGGTTAGAAGGGCGCCGGAGTGTTTTTCGGCGTATTCCCTCCGACGATCAAGTCAGTTCTTTGAGAGAGGGAAAAAAGAAAACACTATATGATGGTTGAGAGAGGGTTTGTTGCGTACCTCTATTCTGTGTTTGTGAGGACTATTTATACTTTAAAAATTCATCATTGCTGACAGCGTAGCTAGTAGGTAATCATTGGAGGTGGGCAGTGCGCACACCAATTTCTATACGTAATGTTCTTATTCTTAACTGCTCGGGATCCCGAGCAATTAATGCTCTCTCTTCGGTCTGCTGAACGTTTAATGATCTTTTCTCGGTGGGGGTGTATTAAATGCCCTGGTATTAGGAATATTTATTGCCTTTTACTTTCAGGATCTTATGCATTAAATGTTGTCTCATCGAGCGAAGGATGCATTAAATGCCTGACCTCCCAAGCTGTGTGTCAGCAAGGGCATTCAGGTCTTTTTGTCTCTGATCTGACACAATATGCTACGTGTCCATTCCCTTTTGGTTGAGTCTTCTGCCTTCTTGTGCCTCCTCGGTGCCGAGGGTCCAGCGTCGCTAGGGGCTGATGTACCCAACCTGACCGAGAAATACATGTCGATCTATGCCATACTGGGGATCCTTGATCCCAGTGGATAGTACTCTCGGGGGAAGGGGGATTATGGACCGACGCGCATGTGTCGTGATCTGATCGGTGAGCATCCATTGACACCGAGGACACGTGTCATCATCTTGGAGTGTCTGGAAATGTCCCATCAACTCCAATGAAGAAACTCAAAATTAAAAAAGGATAAACTCAAATTTAAATGAAGACAGACCCAAATTTAAAGATGGATCAAATATGACCATTAAATTTTTAAAGGAGATTGAAATCTATCCACTAGTGATTTGAGTAAAAGTTTGAGTCTCTTTTAATTTAGATAAAAAATGGAGTCTTATTTGATTTAGTACGAGTTTGGGTATAATAGTGGAGAAGATTTTAGTAATTTTTTCCTAAAATTTAACTTTAGATTTAGAAAAGGTAAGGGTTGGAGATACCCTAACACACCAAACATAATAGCCAAACTCAATTTTGGAAAAAGATATTTAATAATACAATGATATTATATCACCATTAACTTATAATATTATAAATTAATTCTAATAAATGTGTCAGATTTTGTTATTTAATAAATATAATAACATAAAATCACTGTCTCACTTAGTACTAATGTCAATAGAGACGGATTAAGATCTCTCTAATACCTTTTTTTTTTTATATTTTTTCTTAAAAGATTACACATTTATATTATATTGTATATATTATATAACAAATAATTAGATGAGAGAGATGTTAGGAGGTCTTTGATCTATATTCTCTCACTTTTTAAAATTTTAATTTATTTTAACTCATTCAATTTAATTACATTTCATCATGTGACAACCACCCCTTTGCTAAATAAAACTTCTCATTTAATTTTTTTTAAAATTATTTGTTATCACTCTAAATTTTTATAATTATTTATTAAATTTTTTAACATCTTAAAAAATGAGATAGAAAGGAGGAGAAAATATTTGAAGGGATAACAAAAGATGATAAGATACAAATGTCGTGCATCAAGATAGTGGCTAAGTATCTACTAATGAGAAACTCGTTAATATATAAATGTCTCACTTGAATTCGAGCTAAGTAATTTAAAAAAAGAAATATAAAAGACAAATATATTTGGAGGAATTTGCCTCAGATGTGATTGTCGAATTTGCTTAAGCAAAGTGAACCTCCATCATTTAGAGGAAAAAACCCTAAAAACTTTGACATTCTTTCTCCTCCCTCTCTCTGAACCTCCATCATTCAGAGGAAATAGCCCTAGAAATTTTGGCATTCTCTCTCTCTCTCTCTCTCTGTGTTAGTGCGTCTTGCGTGGACTAAAAACACTCCTCCTTCCCACTGATTTGCATCACAAACTTTACAGTTTTTGTCTTCCTACTTGTGTGCTTGTTTTTCCAATGTCTCTTAATCATTTATGTTTTGCAATTTTTGTTTTGAATTTGGAATTCAGGTATTAGAGAAATTTATTGATGTACATTGAATCGAGAAAAGTGAAAATTTGGACATGTGTGTGAAGAAAATGAAAACAAAGAGGGAAGAAAAGATTACGATGACCGAGGACTCCAAGAGGCAGAAACTACTTGAACCGACTTTATCTCCTCAGCCTACGTTTGACAATGCCCTTTTTCCTCTTACTTCGTACGATGAGGACGAAGATGATGAAATGAGAGATGCGGATAGGATTAGGGTTATTAATGACTGTGCAGGGATAAATTCATACAAAGAGTATTCACCTTCTAAGGAATGATAGGGTGATAAAGAAACCTTGAGGGACCTGCAAGATAAGAGAACACCTAGGTGAATCAATGGCCAAAGGGATTCCGATGTTTAAGTCAGATCGCAAGTCAAAGAAAACTATAACGTGAATAGTATAGGATTCAATGAATTACCTGGTACTCGGGGCTTTTATTTATAGTGGTAGGGAGATGTGTCCCAGAGGAACCCAAACTCTTAGTTGATTGGCTCAACTCTGTCATTAGGTTTTAGAAGTACGGGGTAAAGTTAGATTGGGACCCTTGGTCCTCGGTCCTTATCACCGGTCCCTGGTTACTCGAAGTAGCATCCAACTTCAACTCCAACTCCAACTCCTTGGTGCCTCATCACTAGTCCCTAGGTATTCAGAGTGGCTTTAGACTAGGACTCTAAGTTCTAGGTTGATCCTTCACCGAGTAGGACTCATCCATAATTGCCTTGGGTGTCGGGCACAGATGAGTGAGGACCTACCCAAGTCATTTATTGACTGGTAGTGGCCAGGCGAGCCCCTTGTTGACTGGCAGTGATCAACTAAGCCAACTGCTTCTCAAAATGCCAAGTGGCATGAACCAACTTCTCAAAATACCGAGTGGCAAAAGCCACCTCCTCCAAATGTCAACTGGCATGAGTTCCTTGGGCACTTTAAGCCTCACAATGAGGATGATGAAGAGAATGAGTATGGTGAAAATGCAAGACAGGGGAAGCTTAATCGCATGGTTGAAGGGAGGAGGGACTATCCTTACCTTGATAATGTTAACCGCCAAGTATCATATTAATCTCTTATTTGGTAATTATTGCAATTCTGGTTGTTTTCTCAGTTTCTCTTGAATTGTACTTGAGGGTTTGATTTGATAAGTCTAACCGATTATATTCCTCTACCAGCGCCTAAAGGGAATGAGAGATTGTGCTCCAAGTGTGATTTGATTGCCAATTTTGTTCATGATGGTAGACCAGGGGAAGGATCCTACAAGGTATTTGTACAGCAGAAATCAGAATAATTATGGTAAAGTTAAATGCTAGTGAACAATTGTTGAGAATTCCCTACATATTCTGCTGTCAAGTCTTACATACATTATTTTCTCAGGATCTTCATGTCTCAAGTGACTCTGCCTCAGATGGTTTCTCTCTCTGAGGCTTACATGCAGATATATGAGTAGCAACAATAGTGATTATTCAAGACCTTGTATTGAAGGATTACTTTCCTGGTATAGAAGACCCTATTTTCCAGTTTGGTGGTTTAATAGGTGAAGTTTTAATTCGGGTGGTGCGTTTGAATGTTTGCTTAGAAGCGAGAAAAGATGTATGCATTGAAAAGAAAAAAGAAAAGATTTATACATTGTCAAGCAAACTTTTTATGTTGTATTGATGTTGCTGCTGTCAATTTTCAAGTACATTTATGCATACCATATAAACGAGGTGTTTCAAGCTTGCAACAGTATCAGTTTACCCGATAAATGGGGATTATGGGATTGTCCGTAGGATAGTAAGATGAGAGATGATTGTGATGGCCCTGTAGATGTAAATGGTGTCGACTGGTACTCACCTATGAAGTGCCGACGCTCTATAGAAGGTGATGTATCCGACACATGTAGGATACGAACACTTTTTGGACACGTCTGATTTTTTTTATTAGTGTCTATAATTAAATTATAAAATTTTAATTTTGGGGATGAAATAAACAGGGCCAAGGGTTTTTTTTCCTGAATGGAATTATCCTTTTCTGTGCTATTCTGGGTGACATAAAAACTGCCATTGTTATGATCCTCGGGAGGTGGATTCGAGTTTGGCAATTGGGGTTCGGGTGCAGTATGTGGATTCGGATTGTCAGAGGCTACTGTTTGTGGTGGTGGTGGAGGAGAAGATGAAGAAGGAAGTGGTGTTTGAGAAGAGTAAGCTAGGGTTTCTGACGAGGAAAAGCAAAGACTGAGGTTCAAGTTCAAGTGGAGGATTAGTTGGGGGGGGTTGAGAAGCTAGAGTTTTGGAGGGTATCGAATCCATGAAGAGATGACCGATAACAAGAGAGAGAGAGAGAGCACGCTCTTATCACAATCTTGGACACAAGTTGATTGTGTCCTCAAAATAATATTGATTTGAGTTTCACGAATAGTCGAGCTTGTAAATATTTTTTTAAAATTTTTATAATGGGAAAAGATTTGTTTTTAATTTTTTTTGCGTAGGCAAATGATTTTCCATCCATTGTTATTAAATACTAAAATGTACATTTAGTGTCAACCAATTATAATCATGATTAAATTGATTCATCGTATTCACTTAACAAAATACCATGAAAAATTTATAAGCCAAAACTCTAAATTTATATTATATGTCTGATCCTATCTATATAAAACAATTAAATTAAAGAGGATGTGACTTGAGAAAACTTTCATTCCTAAACTAAATGCTTAATTACTAAAATTTTAAAATATTTAATGAATTTATTCCAGTCAAATCACTCCATGTCATTTATTCCATAAATAATTGATGATAAAATTATAAAAATAAATTGCTAACACATGGATGATATAACATATTCTGCCCATTAACCCAACAAAACAATAATTATATTTTACTTGAATCAACTTTTACTGTTGAATTGGCAATTGATCTCATTCAATTTTGAGAGAGTTGCTAATCCAACAGCAACGACGACGACTTCTCTGTAAACAAGAGGGGAAATTAGTGATCAATGAACATAGTAGACTATAAAATAACCTCACGTGATATTTTCAAGCCGCGCAAAATCATATTCACTTGAACACCAATCCAACGAAATTTACATACCACATCTAACGCTCTGCAAAAGCGTTTTTCAGAACGCTGAACCCAATAACCATAACAAACACTGCCACCACCTTCTTTGAGGCTAGCAACCTGAGGTTCACCCGCAAACCGTGCTTTCTCATGAACATCACTACAGCACCACCCACTGTGACGAGCCAAGAACCAACAGAACACAACACTACTTTCATGGTGTCTGTAAGTCCATGAACATTGCGTGCATCACCTGACAACTCCACATATGACCAGACAGGACCTACATGACTGCTCTCGCTCTGGTTTAGCCCAAGGATCTCGTTAAGCCAGCCTGACACATTGACAAGCAGCTTTGCAAGCCAAGCAACCTCATCATCAGAGATAGGCCGCTTCATCCAATCACCCTTGTATTTTACATCAGCCAAAGTTTGATAGCCAACCCTTCTGGGCTTGAATATTTCATCACGCGATTGCTGACACTGTTTTGACTCCTGCATGAATGACATGGACTTCACAAGAGGGCCACCAAACAAGCAGTCCAACTGCGTTTTCAGAGCATGTAAACACTGGAGGTTGTGTCCAAGATTGTCTCCTGATATGGCTTGCAGCTCAGACTCTGCACGTAACAGAAAGAGCTGCAACAAAAAGAGTGACTTGCCTGAGTAACTATGACAGATATAGGTATTAATTGCAACAATAACAGTTAGAACACTGATTGAAAAAAAGGGGGGAAAACCTGAAGAAGTTGCTGTCCACCATCTTCACCATCACTGAAAAGTCGTAGATCTATATTCCAATTCTCGTGCAAGAATGATCCATCAGCATCACTCTCACACAGGCCATCCTCCCAGTCCTTGTAAATTCAAAAACAAATTTTATTAAACTGTAAGTAACACTCGGATAATAAGCACAAACCAGTTAACAATCTGTGTCCAAGGCAGTAAGCGAAAACCATTGTGGAACATAAATATACGACAATATCTTCATAAATATCTCCAACATTCCTACATTACAACATTCCCATACTAATTCTTTAAAGAAACACAACCTATTGGGAAAAAAAAACATGCAACCAATGGAGGCTGTCTGGGAAGCAAGGAAAAATCAGATAGATAACCTTTATTTAATGAATGAAAGTTTTGTTTCTTATCAAATAAAAAAATATCCCAAATGACGGATAAAGGAGAGAACTGAAAGAGACATTAACAAAACCACTTTCTAAGGAGATGTAAGGAGGCCAGTTTCGGGTTTCATTAAACATATATAATTTTAGGAGAAGCTTTTCACAATTTCGGCACACCAAACAATATAACCTTTAAGACCTGCTATAATTTTAGGAAAACAATCCCTGTAAACAGATTACAAAAAGAATAAATTATCTTGAACATCCACTGAGAACCAGATAGAGGTAAAAAAGTCGAAATTACCTGCAACTGTTCTCGGATTGCTGGAACATATCTGTATAAGTTATTAAGCATTGATTTGGATGATCCAGCTGGTTTAGAATGAAGAACGGTGTCCACACTCTTAATGAGGTCAATCAGCTCTGTAGACGATGTCAATATGTTTATAACCTGCCGAAAAGAAAAGAAATTTTTTGACAAAAATCTAACTTGCATTTCAATCCGTCAATCAGACATGCTGCTCATCCAATAGATACACGCTTGTGAGCATGCAAATTGTAGCCACTCATTAAGGTGTTCCATCATTTGCAACATGATGATCCTTTGTATTAGTCACCTCTTCAAGGTTTTTGCCGCAACTTTAATAAAATAAAACTAACTTGGACCAACCTCAGCCTTCATAAATTATGACTTCCCAATATGATTTTGATAACTGTTTCCTTAATTATTCTACTTTAATTTCCAACACACTCGCAAGTGTCATACAACGGAATATACTACAACACACTATTCAAGTATTGTCAGTCAATTTGACTGCAAAGAAGAGGTTCAATTTTGAATAAGTATATTACAACAGTGTATGTGAGTTTATAGAGAGAACAAGTGCGGATGGTTTTGCCAGTTTTATGCGGTCTTAGGTAACTATTCAGTCCTATTCTAGGTATTGACATGAGACAAAAAAGACGACCTCCCAATGAACGCTCCTACTAGTAATGACAATGGCAAGAGGCGGGTGTTCCCCGCGCCCGTGGGGGTCAGTGGGTGGAAACTGTTAGAACAAAGAGTGGAATGACCCCTCAAGTATATTTTTTCCCCCCTCAAGTATATAAACCAACCTTAGTAGTCCTAATTATTCGACAGGATATATAAACTCTCTTAACTCTCTATCACATGAGCCCCGGTTCGCACGTAGGATCAACAAACAAACAATCATGTATACCGGGAAATTCAAATGGGTAAGAGACTTTGCTCACTGACAAAACAAGAACAACTATGATACCATGTTATAGAGCATCCAACCCAAAATAAATTGGCAACATGACCCCTCAAATATGTAAATTGGTCCTAATTATTGGATGTGAGATACAAGCGCCCTTAACAGCAACTAGTTGTGCTAGTGGAATGATAAAATTGGAACTAGTCAGCCTAAACTGTAATGCAGTTCTATAAGACCTCTAAAAAGAAAAGGCAAAAAAGTAAGATCTAAACCTTGTTGGCCCGAGAGAGAGTCCTCAGCATGAATGTAAGGATAACAAAAACTGAGGAGAGTGTATTCAACGAATACTCCCAAGAAGGTGATTTGGCCCATAAAAGCAATGATCTGGAAGAAAGGCTTGATACTAGGTCAAGCATAGGAATGACTAAGGGGCACTTGCTCTGTGCTAAAAAATGACCCCAAAAACAAGAACCTCAGGGTACCAATCCTAAGAAAACAGGAGAATCAGAGAAGAGAAAAAAAAATCTGAGTTTTTACTATGACCTTAAGGTGGAAGACAATCCCTAATTCCAACCAACCTAAACAAAGAGTGGGCATTCCTCTAATGCTGATCTTTGTGGCTAAAATCTTTACTAGTACTAACCTCTTAGTATTCCTACATCTCAGACTTAGGGTAGGTCATATCAACCATCCACTGTAGTACAAGACTGTAAATTTCTTATGGAAAAAGATTGATTTGCATTTTGACTTCCATCAATTTGCATCTCCTCCATTCCAAACATGGTTCAAGGTATCGGCCGAGTCGTATCCGACTCGGCCCCCTCCGATACGATAACGGTACACGTTACGCAAAATTCGCGAGTCTCACCTGAATTGGTCGTGACTCGGTTACAATTCGGTGGAATCGACTTAACTCGGAGTAATATCGGTGTGACTCAGAATAATATCGGCGTAACCCGGCCGAGTCATACCAGACTCAGACAGATATGATAAATTCTTCCAAAATTGAAAGACAAAAATGCAAAAAAAGACCAAAGTAGAGAAGAAAGAGGGATAAGAAATCAAGCAAAAAATGGGACTCAGATTTGTAGAAGGCATACCTTAAAATTGAAGGCATAATTGTTTTTCTTCTAATTTTTTCATTCGCACAACAAGCTTTGTTTTTCCCTTTCTTCTTCTTCTTCACAGCAAAGACCCAACATCATGATCGAAAATTAATTGCAGAAACCCTAGGTTGCTCGACCAACATCATTGATCGCGATCACAATCGAAGTCTCGAACAGCCCCGACTCCCTCTGTTCCTCTCTCTTCATCTCTGCAGTCGGAGTCCTGATCGCGATTGCGATCGCTCGCCTCTTGTCTGCTGCCAAAGAGTTTCACCTCTCTCTCTCTCTCTCGCGTCTGAGAGTATCAAACCGACAAAGCCAAGCCCAGTGTCACCTAATTCATTAAACACTATTTGACTGTGATTAATTTGTTAACTTAAATATTTATAATTTAATTTACTTATTGTGAGTAATTTATTAAAGTGTGGGTAATTTATTTTACTTAGAGTGGGTAATTTATTACTTAAAATGGTTAATTTATTAACATAGTGTGATTAATTTATTTTATTTGTGGCTAATTAGTTTTTGGGTTCACTTTTTGCCCAAGTTTAATTAGATTAAATTTACTATTTAATAAATCATTAAAATATTTAATGTAATAGTTAGATATTTAGATTATTTATTTTTTAAATAAATATTTGAAGTATTCTATTTTAAATCAAATGCTAAATTATTAATCTTATGGTGGAAATTATCCTAATTTGTATTATCCTAGAGACAATAATAATGATGATATTTCTTAAGTGCTTACCTTAAACATTCATAATAATAATTATTTTCGGTAGTTTTTTATATTTTATTTTTATTATTTTTAATGTGTTTTTGGATATATTGTAGACATATAATGCATGAAATGATGATGCTTATAATTTTTAAAATTTATCATAATTTTTTAAATTTTTTTGGAGCTTCTATCTAGCATTTTGAGCGTATCGGCCGATACCGTACCGCGACGACGCGACCGATATGTATCAATGTCCTCCGAGTCGATGACCGATACTGCGACTTTGAACCATGATTCCAAAGTTCCATTGTTCCTCACTTCTATACCACAATGTTTTTGCATAAAACTGTACATTTCCTTCCTCAAGAAATAATAATAGATGCATGCAGAATGCAGCATATGAGAAATTGCAGTGAAAAAAAAAGAATGGAGATGGATTATGTGTTTACCATAATTAAAATCTCAAAACTCTGGCAGATCAAGTGCCATCGACACTATTTCAGTGTTGTCTCAAAAAAAAGTATATACAAATTATTGCCTCGACAAAATGGGAGTTGAATCAAAAACACCTACAAAATGTCCAATATAAAACTGTCCAAAAACTGTTGATCACATTTCTGCATAGATATGAACAATGCAACACAAACTATCAATGGTGCAAGCAAAGCCAAACAACAATAGTAATCTGGAAAGGGAAGAAAACAAACCTTTGATACCATCTGTACTATCACTTCTGCATCTGTATGGAGAAACTTGTGTGCAAATCCAACAAAATGCATAACCAAGGAACTGTAGAACAGATAGTTAGCCAATACAAAGCCCTGCCAGGAAGATGAATATCCACGTGAAGGAGATCGGGAGGTCTCCATTGTCATATTTTTTCTTGATATACCCTCATTGGCAGCAAGCTCCACAAAATCTTCCAAGCTGATAGCCCAAGGTTCCATGTAGTTAATCCAAACTGAAAATACCTGAGATGCATTCTTAATAGAAGTCTGCACAGGGCAAAACAAGAAGGCCCTCAACACATATCTGTACAATGGCCTCTGAATCCAAGAGTTCCAAGAACTAACAGAGTGCACACCGAAAGTTCCTGATGTAGCATCCTTTGACTTCATAAAATCAACAGAACCTGAGATCCTCCACCTAGGACTCTCAGAATATTTAACATGATCAGACCCATCAGCAAATGTAACCATACTAAAATTCAGGTACTTCACAAACACGTTCACTACCTCACCCAACCCAGACGTAGGTGGGGTCTCACCCAGAACTGATCGGAAAGGGAAAGTCACACCAAATGACTTGCAAGTAGCCACGGCCAATGGCGAGAAATCATTATTAACTAACCAGAAGTGTATCAATGTACTAACAAGAAACCCTGCTCGTTCAAGAACCAAACTATCATAACCTGATGAATAATGTAACAGTGAACTACGATACGGTGGATGAGCATTCAAATCACATGCAGGCACAAATGCATGAAGGTATGCATAAAGAAGCCGTGTATACAAATTACACTCCACTTTCCGCTCTGTTCCACGCTTAGCGCTTGAAAACACCGGAATCGAATGAGTCCAATTCTCCAATCTAAACCTTCTACTTCTCTGAACCCTTACTGCACCACAACTCTCATAATTCCCTCTACAAACTGGGTAGTAAGCATACCAAAACATGTAATACTCAAACACATTCAATTGCACCTGAAATGAAGAACCCTTAACAGAATCCTCCTTGACCCTACCTTTAAACAACGAACACAAATCGGCCAAAACGCTGTAGTCTCGCTCATTCTGAAGCATATTCCGAACCCACTCAGGCAATCTTTCAATCGGAAACACATATTTCACAAGTGAGAGTCGATCAACGGCAGACATAGAAGACATTAACACACCATTTGGTAACAGTAGTCTAAAAACCCTACCTACGAGCCAAGAATAAAATATCAGCATAAAGGAACTATTATTGTAATTCATGTGCGTATATAACAGTGTGTACGTCACATTTCGCCCAATTAAAGTCCAGACATAGCAGGATAGTTACACTGAAAACTCAATATGCCAACAGAAAATACACCCCACACCACACGCACAGGAACGTATTTTTATTCCACAGTTTAGTTCAATTGAAGGGTTAATAGAGAGCACATATAGTGTTTCTTAGATGCTCACTGTTCAAATGAAGACTCAATAATTGAAAATGGCAATCGATATGGATGCATTGTAATTATAGCCACAAAGTAATTGATATCACTTTCGATATATTGCAAAAAACAAAATAATAATAAAGGATAAAAATGCCGTTTGGTATGTAACAATTTCGAGACAACTTATGATCAGTCTATGGATACATCCTTTCGAAGGTATAATTATTTCCAAAAAACTTTGCTACATATCTATATGTGTTAAAAATATAGATATATTTTCTACCGGTAAATTCATTAGTGCAATTTTGCTTAAAAGTACAGAGAAAATAAATAATATAGCTTTGTACTTAACAAGAGAGAGACAATTGACGTTGAAACTGAACAAAACAGCAAGATATTTTCGGAAATGAAGATGAAAACCCTACTGGAGAGCTCTGAATCGTTCGATTGCGAAACGATCTCGATCCAACCGTTAGGGGAGTGAGGTTTCTGAGCTGGCGAAGACTCCTCGAAGCCAAAGATTTTGCAAATTAGGGTTGGGAAAGTGATGGAGAAGAACCATCGGGCCTGGTCCGGTGTGTGCTTCTGGAGGAACGATTCTATTGCGCCGCACGCGGCTATGATTTGCGGCGGTGATGAGGCGGCGATAACGGTGGTGG